CTTTCCTTTTTTTTTTTTTTTTTTTTTTTTTTGAAGGGTTCTTTGCTGTAGTTTAAGATGTCATTTTTGGGCATTTTCCTGTCACTAGTAACAGTGGGTTGATGTTACTATTTATTAAAAAATAAAACAAGAAAAAGAGTTGGTTGATATTGAAAGTTGGAAAATTCTTATTCTTGGTTACAGGTTATTGAGAGATTGATTCTGGAATGGTTTGGGTACAATAAATAAGGTTCATAGGCTGGTGAATGAGAACTCAGACAATGGGGTCTCAAGGTGGTGCTGTCCAAGAGCCCAAGTTGCAGGAGTCTTTGACTCGGCAAGGCTCCTTGTACAGTCTCACTCTCGATGAGGTCCAGAACCAGCTTGGTGATTTGGGGAAACCACTTGGCAGCATGAATCTCGACGAACTTCTGAAGAGCGTATGGACCGCAGAAGCTAGTCAGGGCACCGGAACGGTTGTAGATAGTTCAGGTGCTCAGGCAGGCCAGGGCACCTCTGCCTCATCCCTGCCTCGGCAAGGGAGCCTAACCTTGTTTACTGATCTTAGCAAAAAGACTGTTGATGAGGTTTGGAAGGATATTCAACAGAAAAAGAATGGCAGCCAAGAAAGGACGACAGCTCAGGAACGGCATCCTACTCTTGGCGAGATGACCCTAGAGGATTTCTTAGTGAAAGCAGGAGTGGTTGCCAAATCCCCATCGGCCCAGAAGGGTGGTGTTGCTCCTGGTTTAGGCGTTGATACAATTGCTCCAGCGCAACATGATGTTTCACAACATATTCAATGGATGCAATACCCAATCCCTTCAATGCAGCAGCCACAGCAACGTCAGCATCAACTGAACACAATGGCAGTTTTTATGCCTGGCCATGTGGCTCAGCAGCCACATCTGGATAGTGGTAATGCCATCTTGGAAGCAGCATATGAAAACCAAATGATAATGTCCCCGTCATCTTTGATGGGTACTTTATCAGATACCCAGACGCCTGGGCGGAAAAGAGTTGCTCCTGAAGATGTGGTTGAGAAAACTGTAGAGAGGAGGCAAAAGAGAATGATTAAGAATAGGGAATCAGCTGCCCGGTCGCGGGCAAGGAGACAGGTGACATTACGATTTCCACTCATGCGTTTTGCTTAATTTGTTTTGTTTGTGGCATTTTTAGATTCATTTAAGTTGTTGGGCAGGCATATACACATGAACTGGAAAATAAGGTCTCACGTCTAGAAGAGGAAAATGAAAGGCTCCGAAGACAGCAGGTTGGTTCTGCTTTTCTTATTTTAGTTTCTATATGTTTTTCTTGAAGTTGTTTGTGACTATGCTGCATCATAGCCCTATCTTCATTCTATCTTAGTCTATTTCTTGATCTATTGCCATCCAATTTGTCATATCTTGAATATTGAAGTTAAAATGCTTTGCAAATGAAACAAGATGTTAACTTCTGATTCTGAATTGGGAATTTGAACCAAGTTGATGTGTGATGCTTCTTCTTGTAAATAAGGGTTGAGGGTTCCAATGGTTTATTTTATTGATTTATCTTGACATCTGGAATGATGTTGGTTTTTATATTTCCGCATAATGTTTTTATATTGCTGCCTGCTTCTTCCGTAACACCATCTTAAGTGACTGTTTTGATGCCAATAGTTCCAGATTCTCTGAACGTTGGCAACAATGCTTAGCGCAATCACGAGGTGATAATGTCACTATTAATTTCCTTACCACATAAGATGTCAATCTAAAGCTCAAAGATAGCAATAATGATCCCATTTGAGGAATTAGTTCTTTCCAATTCTGTTAACTGCTGGACTGAGTACTCTAACTGTTGATCCTTTGCTTTCATTTGTTGCTTAACTTGCTAGACCATGATTTTCATACTTCTGGATCTTAAGCCTTTAATAACTTCACTGGGTTTTGCAATGTGGTCGATCGGTTTTCTATTTTTGTTAGCTTTCAAGATCTCGAGAAAACAAAATCCAGTTATGAAGTGAATTCACGATTTTCCTTCTTTATTTTTTTATTTTTACTTTCTGCTTTTTGTTTCTTTCATTTTGCTGAATTGGACTCTTGCTAATATCCTCTGCCAAGAATGAAGGATCAAATTTTGAGAAGTCACCAAAATATCATCAATATGAAATATGTAATATACATGGCTGCTGATGTAGAAACTAGGGGAAAAGTTGAATTGTCCTCGTGGAAATAATGGTAGTTGTCAAGTGTGATATTGTCAAGATTCGATATGCATTGTAACTTAAGTAAATTTGAAGACTTTATGTCAATGTCTTCAACGCGTAGGCAATATTGACCAAATATCAATATGCGGCACTTGAAATATAAGACTTTACAAAGACTTAAGAGATATTGCCTTGGCATGGTTGCCAAATATGGCATTTAATGAGAGCACAGAGCACATAGAACCGCAAAATGCATCTTTTTAATTTAAGTGAGAAAAAGTAAAATCTAAAGGGTTATAAATCTATCCTTGCATGCCCATCATGTTACATTGGAGCTCTAGAAAATCCTTCTTGATCGTTTTAATAGGTGAGGTGGAGGAGCATATTTGTATTCATTTGCATCTCGAAACGTACTGAGATGTTAGACTTGCATGTGCTACCTTGTTACATTTGTCAGTGCTGATGATGATTTGTCTTTCTTCCTAGTGTCAATTTGGGCTTACGCTGTGGGGAACTCATGTGATTTTGCCCCCTTCTCCTATTACCTTACTTGAGACCGATAAGCCCCCAATTCGTTTTACCTATGCTAGGCGTGCGACGGTGCGAGGCACCTGAAGTGAGTGCTGCTGTTCTGTTAGTGGAAGGGAGGGGTTATTTTGGGAAAAGTATGAGGTAGTAGGGATCTGTAGTTTTCTGTTAAAATAAAGGAACAATTTGTTACGTAGGGAGGTAGGCCATTATCTTGTGGGAGAGGGTTGGATCTATCGAAAGTCCAACATCTATCTTCTTAATTGTATTTCCTCTTTCATTTTGCTGATTAATATCAATATCAGAACCTATCAGAGACCTACAGATTTTGAAATCTTTTAGTTGAGGTTAATGGTTGTGATTGTTTCTTACCTACCTGGTTGTGGTAACTCATTCCAATTTATTGTTTAGTCAAATCTAAGCATAACATCTTTTTTGAGATAGCAGATGTTAGTTTGAAGGTTCACACCTGAGTTAAAACTTTTTAAGATCATAACTTCGGAATTGTTTATGACATTTTGCTCATTAAGATAATAACTAATTTCTTAGTCATGTCTCTGACGATGACTTGATTAGTCTTGTATTTTAGGAGAAACGTTAATGTGATGGATTTAATATTTTTGCCTATCTAGGTCATACAAATATGTTGGAAAACATTATGGTTACTAATCTTTCGAAAAAGATCCGGAGGACTTTACAATTTGACTTTAGGCAATGTAGTGAGTAAATTTACCAAAGGAAAGGGGGATGATGGTGGGAAGGTGGGTAGGTGAGACCACCATCATGTGAGTTGTGGGGTTAGGACTGCTCTTTACAAAGGCTAATTCCAAATGCGCCGTTGATCCTTTGCTTTTATCATGCATGATTTTACCAAACTCATAATGCTTTTATGAAAGATATCTGGCAACAAGACTATCTAAATAATATTACCCATATTTGAACTTTTCCAAATGCTTCCAAGGTTGCTGTTGTTGTTGGTTTTATTTATTTATTTTTTCCTACTGTTACTTACAGATTGCATATATTAATTTGTTCTGTCATCTATTAATTTTATTTACTCTTTAAATAAAATTTTCCTTGTCGTACAGGAGATGGAGAAGATGTTGCCAACTGCACCGCCTCCGGAGCCAAAGAACCAGCTTCGAAGAACAAGCTCGGCCCCATTCTGACAAGCGTTTTCCCATGTATTACTGTAACTCTCAGTGTATTGTGGTGGTTATGTCATCTAATATTAACTGGCTGAACTAGTTTGGAAGTCTCTCCTTTATTGAAGAGGATTTTCCTTTTTTTCTTTCTTTTTTTTTTTTCCAAATTTGTGGAAAGGGTTAGGAGAGGGTTTTGTGGTTGCGAGTGGTGAGGACTGCATTTGGAACTTTTCTTTTTTTTTTTTTCCTTTTTTTTTTAACGGAGCTGTGTTGATATTATGTTCTTGCTGTCTGATCTCATTAGTCTCTGGCTCACAACCAATAGGATTTTGTGTTATTTGGGGGCTGATTTTTACGGGCATACAACAGTCGTCCAAAAAAAAAAAAATTTGAGAATGTCAAGAGGTGAAAAATTCGTCACGTTGAGTGACAAGTCTTACTTTTTTTTTTTTTTTTTTCATTATTATTTCAAGGGCAAGGGAAAGATGAGCAATGGAAAGAAAACTCTACCACCATAATTAATAACATTACAACTAATCACTCAACTTCCACCTATTACAGTTTTTGTCAATAATCGTCTGGTCCTTTCAGGACCATTACTCTCGTCACTCCTCAGAACACTCCTTATAATGGTCAGGAAAAAAAAAAGAGTAAACAATAAGAATTATGGATTGGCCTAGAGGGCAGCATTTAATTTTTACCATTAATGAGTTTGCTAGTCACTTTAGAAAGCGCAAAAAATGTTTCAACTCAAACGAGGATGTGAGAGGAAGCTGGTAAATTTTTTGATCCACCATTTTTCCCAAATACAAATACCTTACAGCACAGCATATAGTTATCTTCCCCACTCTCAATGAACAACAAATTAGAGCCACAAACATGGATCGACAACAAGATTTTAAACCATTCCAAATAAGGGGGGACAATAACTTATAATCTCTTTAAACTTTTCTTTCTTGCATCTATTTTCTTCTTTTCAGCCGCCTGTGCTTTCGACAATCCACCTTCCTTTTTCTTCACAGTAACTGATGCAGCTGCTGCATCAGCAGCAGTAGACCCACCAACTCCTGTCTCCGCGGGAGGCGCAGCAGCGGGCTGCTCTGCACCATTTCCTCTGGCAGCTGTCGTAGAAGGGGCCAGCGGGGACTGCAATTGTAGTGTGGCACTTGGTGCTGTGCTCTTTTGATCCGCATTAAGTGCAGAGGCATTTGTCTGATCAACATTCAGAGCCATTGTGGACTCGGAAATGGCTCCTGTTTTGAACTTGGGTTTTGGCTTAGCATGGATTCCGGTGTAAAGCCTGCACATAAAAGGTTTAAACTTGGACTGAGTCAAGTGTTTCATGATAATGTCTTATAACTATAAATCTATTAAATTATATCTTATTGACAGTCAAACTTCTTTCCTAATATCTACCCGACCTAATACCTAATGTAAGATAATTATGGATAAAGCTAAGTAAACCCCATGGCAGGCAGAAATCCTATCTAAACTCAGATAGGATATTTTATCAAAGAACATAGTCACATGCTTACAAAAATGTACCCATTTAAGGGCTCCACACGTAAGTTGTGTTGCGTGTTCGAATTTCCCCACCCCCCAAGTAGTGCCCGAAAAAAAAAAGTGATGGCTGCACGAAGCAACATCCATTCAAAGACTCAATCTCTGACTGTATTTTCATATTCAATGCGTGTTCGAATTTCCCCACCCCCCAAGTTGTGCCGAAAAAAAAAAAGTGATGGCTGCACGAAGCAACATCCATTCAAAGACTCAATCTCTGACTGTATTTTCATATTCAATGCGCTCTAGTGAAGATTAGAGTGCGCATAATTTACTTGCCTGGCATGTCTGGCATACTCCTCATAATTTTCTAGTAACATTTTCCCAGCCTGTTCATTCAGGGCTGATTCTGGAAAAGGCTCAATCAACAAACATCTAACTACCTGTTGTCACAAAACTCAAGTCAGATATTAGAATTTATATACATATAATTAAACGTCTTATAAAAGTAGCTGAAAATACTGAGACAAAATAACTCACAATAAGAACGTGTCGTAATCCAAGACTTGGATTCCAATCTTTCTTTAGTGTGTTGACACAAATCTCACCGTTATTTGCGATATTTGGATGGAATATTTTAGTAAGAAAGTAACCTACAAAAATATGAAACATGACAAGAATGCTAAAAAATGAATACTTGCCGGGAATTAAAGTATGAACAAAGAACAAATCCAGAAGCATCTACCAATCTAGGCACCCTATAATAACCAAAACATCTCTTATATCCATACTATAAGCTACTACAGTATTAAAAAAACATAGCATTAACTAAACTCAGCTTTGCGCCCATCTCCTATTCATCACTGACGCCCATTTAAATAACAGGTGTTATATACCTTTCGGAGGAGAATGTGGAAAATCACAAGATAATAACAACTTCATTCGGAAAACACCATTTTCGTATGGAGTCCCAGCTGCAAGTTCAAGAATATTAGTGTCAAAACAATCTTAACAATCCTTTAAAAAAAAGTTGAAAGTTTTAAGACAGCAACACATGCCTGGGCCTTCAATATCAGCAAATATAATTGAAAAGTCATCATCATTCATCCCAACTTTAATGCCCTCCGGAGGGGATTCATCAAGATTTTTCAATTCCTTTGCAAGTTGCTTAATTACATTTGGCGGGAGATTCTCATTAGTTGCCTAAGAAGAAACAAAATCTTTCTAAGTAGCAGAAAAAGTCACCTTGGTAAGAGCGTTCTTAATACCACCGCGTACAACTAAACCCAGTATCCCTTTACCCACAACATTTGAACATATTTCAAAGAACCAAAAGGCCAGTGCATTATTAAAGGAAGAACTGATATAAATTGAAATTAAACTTGCAAGCACCATTTCTCATAGCTTGAACCTCGATATCCTTGAACAGTGATAGTTTTAGTGTTTTACAACAAGAAAAAATTGGGCTGAACGAGATAGAGAATTTTACCATAACCGTGAAAATAATGGAATCGTTATGCAAACACCAGTTACTGGAAGAGAATCAGTTATTAAGCAATACACGAGCCAACAATGTGGACTTGGTTGAACAAAGGCAAGAAAACTCGCTGTCACCAGATTGACCTACACAGATTGACAACTATATTACAAACCAACAAGTAAAGCTTCAGTTCCATTATTCTCTCAGAAAGGAAAATAAAAATAAAAAATAAAAATAGAAACAAATAAGCAAAAGCGAGTAAGATAAACAACTATAAGTGCCAGCACAAGTTTTCATCTAGAAGTATTTGATTCATGGTTGAACATTTTAGAAACTCAATAACATACCATGTGAGATACGTAAAGTTTCTAGAAAAGTTAAGGGGGAAGGTGGCAACTAGATTGGAAAATCAACAACTTTTAGCTGGATAAGAAGATTAGAAAGTTAAGTAACAACGGAAGACGGTACTAAACATAAAGCAAGAACGAACAAAAACAAAACAAAACAAAACAATGCAGCAAGGTTATCACGCATCAGAATCAAATATCTTGAAATGGAACACAATTCATTGTTTGTTCTATGTTTGACACCTAGAACTACAATCTGGGTTGAAGGCCAAATAATATCTAGATTCCATCACGTTCTAGAGCTTAATTACTTTGCTTCATTTTCATTTTAGAAGACAAGAAAACATCATAGATATCTAAAGAACTTGGAACCTTGATTTTTATGGGAAAACACAGACACAGATATCTAGTGTATAAGTATCACAAATAAGTTCAGAGATAAATATACTCACAATAGACACAAATTGAGACGGAAATAATAATACCAAATCGCTAAAGTGAGGGATACAACTAAGTAGGCAAAAACCAGAAACAAAAAAGGGAGAGAGAGAGATAGAGAGAGAGAAACAAACGGAACACAACGTGGTCAAAAAAGTGAAAATAAGAGTAGAAAAGGGTATAAACGATGCAGCTACAACATGTTCCAGCTTTTCAAGTTCGGAAAGAAAAACTTAAGCCCTAACAAACCAACATTAACAAAATTACTCACTCCTTTTTTGTTTCATTAGAAGAACCGCTTTCTCTCTCCCATGAGAAAAAAGAGCCTAGAGAAAGAAATCAAAGCTTATACATATAAATCTTCCCAAAAAGAAAAAAAAAAAAAAAAAAAAACCTAAATCCTCAAAAACAAGAAAAGTACCTTAAAAAGAGAAATACCCATTACAGATCAAAGTTGGAAAAAACAAAAAGAAAACCCCTAATCGCCCAAAGAATCCCACATTCCCAATTCATCAAGAAACACATACATGTCTTTAGTCATCTTTATCACAATCAAAGAACGAAAAAAGTTTCTAACTTCAGAAGCAGCAAAAAGGAGAAACCGGATCTTGCACAGCCACCAAAAATTCAAAATCGTCCAAATAATTGACAATGCAATGCGAAGAAACAAAAGAAGCAAAACCCAGATGAGAAAAATTCACCTTATCCGATTCCCATCTGTGAGAGAGAGAGAGAGAGAGAGAGAGAGACGAGTAAGAGTTTTGTGAGGAACCGATCTCCACTTGAAATAATTGAATGGTTGATTTTGAGGAGAGAGAGAGTGTTAATTTATTTTTTATTTTATTAATAATTAAAAATAAACCAGTTTTGAATAAAAATAAAATATTAGAACTGGAACGACGTGTTGGCTTACAGCATCTATAGTCATTGGATTGTGTCTTCCAAACGCACTATAACAGCGCGTAGCTACGCGCTGATCTTTTTACGGCTCTTGAATATATAAAGGGAGAAAGAGGAAAATATGTCAAGACTTGAGATGAATTAAAATTAATAAGCTAATAGTTTATATAAGTTAATAAATAGATTAAATTATTATTTTTGTCTATAACTTGTCTGATTATGAACCATAAATTGATAAGTTATTATCTATAATTGTCTATAACTTGTCTAGCTATAAACTATAACTTGAGAAGTTTGTTAATAACTTATCTAGTTATGAACCATAACTTGACAAGTTATGACCTATTAATTTTTATAACTAAAAATTGGCCTATATACTTTCTTAAGTTTTTCATATTGGCCTATTTTCTACTATTTGACCATGTTCTTTTCACTAATTCGAGTTTTGTTACAGTAAAAAGCTCTCAGAAACAGTCACATTTAACTTTTTTTTGTTACAGTAAAAAGTCCTCGCACAACATCACATCTCAACTCAAATTAAAAACTCGAATTAGCGAACCGAATGGGCCCCAATGGGCTTTTCTTTTTATATATTCATACATAGATATTGTGAAATTTAAGGGTCTTATATTTCCAAAAAATTTAGGGGCTTATATCTAAATGTACATTTTCTTTGCTTTCAATGATCAGAAATGTAAATTTTTCTTTGGTCATATTAAATGACTCATATTTTGACTAAATGAAGTGTAAAATTGATGAAAAAGAGAACTTCACTTTATAATATATCTTCACATATATATTTACAATCCTAAAATTTATAGAGAAAAATGATAGTGAAATTCTGAGCTTAGATTATTGCCTTTGGGGCTTATATATAGTCAAAATTTTATGAACTATATATGCCATTTGCTTAAAAAAAAGAAAAGAAAAATTATTTAGGCAGAATACAATGTGTGAATGATATAATACGGCTCAAAGATTATGATTAGAAAGTTGTTAGATAAGAATTGAAGGAACTTCCAGAGAACACCATTTTTTTAAAAGGAATTTTGTGGACAAACGTCTAAATATTTGAATGCTTTTAGATTTACTTATTATTTGTTAAGGAGTAAGATGTCAAAAGTGACTCAGTATGCGTTCAGGTGTTTAATATGATGATTCGTATCATAATTTGAATTATAATTCGTTAGCTTGTTATAGTATTTTCTCTCACAAAAGACATGTAAACCGAAAATAATTATGAATCATGATTCTAAATTTGTGAACTAAACATCCACAACGGTATGAGAATGTGTTATAATTCGAATTATAATTCGTGATTTGTTAGAGTATTTTTTCTCAAAAAAAATACATATATATCAAAAATAATTCTGAATATGTGTTTCTCGCTTTCACGTAAGTCAGTGCGCGTAGCTTCCTCGTGCGAGAGGAATGGCGCTTGTAACTATGTAGCAATACAAATGAAATAAAATAATAATAATAATAACAATAATAATAATAATAATAATAAAGATAAAAATAATTAAAAAGGAAGAAAGAGAAAAAGGAAATCCAGATTTGAAATGTTGGCCGACGAATTGAGGAGTTGAGTTGAGATGCGTTGAGGGAGCGGGGTGAGTGGTGACCGTTGGAAGGTCGTCTTCCCAATTAGCCGTTAGCGGTGCCAGCTATGAACCTGCCGATGTTTGGGTCCAGAAGAACATATTCCTCATTTTATTTGTTTATTTTTTTATGGAATTTATTTCTTTATTTTCTTGTTCAAATACAAAATCTTTTGGGTTTTTAACACATTTATCCCATCCACTTCTCATGTTTAGCAAATTATCTGTCAAACTTCTAATTTTAACTTATAAATTTATTACAATTAAACATTTTAGCTAACGTTTCCTATGAGATGGACAGAAATAGACATGTATCAGTCCCATGCAGAGTTCTAAAAAGGCCAAACCAACATTTTAAATTCCCTAATTATAAAATAAAATTATTAATAAAAAATTTAGAATAATTGACACAAATAGTAATTAATTATTGAGTAGGTGACAATTTAATTCATCATTTTTTTAATTTTAGCAAAACAATTCCGTCAAATTAATTATGAAAAAAACCATGTGACCCCACGCGACCTGTTTTTACGCTGAAACCAACGAATTACTCTGCTTTATTTGAGAATGTTATAAAAAAAAATTAAACAAAATTAAACAAAAAAACCCCAAATAAAATTGTCTTTACTTCCTCAAACTTTCAGACCCAAAAATGAAAACCCTAATCATTCATACTCAAACACAGTAGTGCTATGTTCTAGTAATTAATCCATCGAATTGCAGAATGATTAAGGAAAATGAGAAAACATCTTCCACATTCAAACGTTGTTTTGAATCTTCTGAAAAAATCGATGTTCTAAGAAACACGGATCTTCTAAAAAAAAAAATCACCCCTTAGCCTCGCACCTCTCTCTTGCTCGTAGCCGCCAAGATCTGGGCGTACCCTATTGCTGAGATCGTCGCGGATTCTCTGCCGCCCAGCCCTCGTTCTACCATCCCTTCGCACAAAGCAGATCAGGGATCCTCAGTTGCCTCTTCTCACGAAGCAACCCAGATCGGCTTCTGTCGCCCTTCTCACGAAGCAACCCAAATCGGCTTCTTAGCTAGCACCTAGATCCGCGACTTCACGACTCGTTTCGCCGCTGCCGCTTCAGATCGCCGCAGGATACCACCATGAACTGTCTTTCATGTCGTAGATCTGGGTCTTTTCATTCTGATTTTTTTTTCCTTTGGGTAGAAAAGAAATTCATTAAAGGAATAAAAGAAGATAGAGAGGACTGCATTGGCTGCAACAAGAACGCAACAAGGGGGGAAAAATCCCAAGAGACAAAGCCTCCAAAAAGAAAACAATTGAACAAAGTGATTTGTGATTTTTCATCTGATTGTTTTCTTTTTTTTTTCCCCATTTCAGGAGTTTTTTAATTTTAATTTCTATTATATCATAAATTATTATTATTTTACTAAAATGCCCTTTTATATTAGATCACATGTTTTGCACTTGAGACATTTCAGGTCCGTTTAGTTCAATGATTTAAGTTTTTAATTCGAATTGAAATGTAATTTTATGTGAAATTTTTTACTGTAGTAAAAAAATTAGATGTGACTGTTTCTGAGAGTTTTTTACTGTAACAAAACTCAAATTCTAAATTCAAATCAGTAAAATAAACGATATGAAACTTAACAGACTTTAACAAAAAGTACTTAATTGCACTATTTTAAAGACGTTGGAGATTATTTTGTGAAAATTAAATTGTCACGTACTCAATAAATTTGCTAATTACCCAAAAATTTAAACTAATCTCAACCATTTATGTTTTGTTCTTTTAATCTAAACCATACATCTAACATATTAAAACCCTTGTAGCCCCTCCTCTCTTATTCTTCCTCCATTTCTGATACTTGCGGCCACCGCGACATTCCTTGTCACCATTTTTATAGAGCCCAGCCATGACCTTCTTTGTCAAGCCATAGACGGAGAAGGACGTGAAGGAAGGTTGATCGCAATCGTTCGAGTCCTCCGACTAGTTGCTAGTCATGGAGAGGAGCTTGACTCACTTCCTTGAGAGTTGCCTTCTACAACCCCTCTTAAGCTAGTAGGTTGTTAATCAAACTATTCATATCAAGCCAAACTAGAAAGGGCTACTTCTTGTACAGTTTTCTCAATTTAATAAAAAATTAATCGACAAAAATCATAGGCAGCAACATGTACTTCAAATTTTCATGATAAAACTCTTAAAAAAACGGAAATGAAAATGATTTTTTAGTTTAATGTAAAATAATATTTGGCGTAATAAAGATAAAAAACGGAAATGAAAATGATTTTTTAGTTTAATATAAAATGAGAGATAAATGAAAAACGACTTTTAGTCATTTTTTCATTTTTTATTTTCTTTTCTCCTCTCCAGCAGGGAGAGAGAAAGAGAGACATTAATAGATTTTTTACACTGAAAATAATCTCTTGATAAAATTACTAAATGCATTTTTAAAAATGATTTCTGTCTGAGATTGAAAACGTTTTCATTTTCATTTTCATACAAAAAATAAAATCATTTTAGAATAAGTTCCAAACGCGCCCTACAAAACTCAATAATAATTCTTCAAAGCATGATACAACTATAATAGTTTTTACCACTTATTCGTAAAATGTAAAATATAACTCTCTAAACCATATCATCACATATCATGGGACTTCAAGAACTTGTACTCAATCAACCTTTTATGAAGCCTAATCGTTAAGATGGTAAGAATAGTGTCCTAAAAACTTTTGATGTAATATGATATTTATTATTTATTTAATAAAAGAGATTTTTTATTATTTTACGTGCATGTATTATTGAATATTTTAAGAATATCATAAAAAATTTTATGATTATTTATGTAATCTTAAATATTATATATAAGCGTTAAATATAAGAGAATGATATTTAAGGATAATAATTGTAACATCCTCCTTTTAAAACATAACTATTATAAGGATAATTAAAATTTTACACAACACTACTAAATACATATTACATAAAAATCCGTACAAATTTTAACTTTTTGTTACATAATATATTTCATAAAATTCATATTATGGACTCATAAATAAATGCTCGTTATTTTTAAAAATAAATTATAGAACCTTTGAAAACTCTCTCTCTGTATGTATGTTCTATATGTACTAACACATCAACTTCACACCTTGTTCATCCTCCAGTTTAATTCAATGTTCTTTTTCCTTTACCTACAACATAAGTATAATTAAATTGATGAGCTAACACTCAGTAAGTAAAGTCGTTATCCCATATAAAAGTTAAAAACTCATTTATGGTCATGATTTACTTCATTTTTCTT